GACATTTTTCCTTTCGATATTTTTCCCTTCGACATTTTTCCTCTTCGACATTTTTCCCCTTCGTCTTTTCGACATTTTTCCTTTCGACATTTTTCCTTTCGACATTTGGACGGCCAACCAACTAATTAACATATCATTAATAGGTCAATTGTGATCCATTGATAAATAGTTAATGAAAAGAATGCTGAAGGGTGGAGTGGAAAAAGTGGACCATCTCACCTACTCTGACAGACAGAAAAAAATGGTGAAGCGATCTATAACATCATAGATCTTGACAGATATCGCGATAGTTTAGTCTAACTAACCATAAAGGATAATACGATCAACATGTGTGGAGTGCTCCTTAATAAGTGGAGCAAATCAGTCGTGTTCCACATTCTGATCTCACGAAGACTACGATAAAAACATTTTGATAAGTTTGTTTAATATGCTATAAAATCGTTATTCTTTAAATAATGTATTTTATAAAATAACTAATTGTCGTTTTATATGATTTATTTGATGAGTCAATATGAAAATAAAAAATTCGTTGTGCGAGAGTTTCTCTTTGTCCTCGTATCATTTTGTTCATGAATTTAATATAAAAGAATATATTCATGGCATGTTTTCAGTCGATCTCACGACTGCGATCAAATCGTCTTTTGTACTGATCATTTTGGTAATCAGATTTTTACATTTAGATTCTGTTTTCAAAAAGATACAGACCAAATACTATAAATACTAACTATTTAATTCTCTTCACAGCAAATAAAAGTTGAATTTATATCGAAACATCGATAATAATCCTTATTATTCGCTCGCACCATAAAACTAATTATAGATTTTGATTTCTTAGGAATTATAATTTTTTTATACGACCCGTTGGTTCACTATGTAATGCGTCGGAGACGAAAATTATATAAAAGAATGAATCAGAAAGTTGAAATTAATCAGAATAGTAGTGTTACTAGGTTAATAGAGTAAAACTTGCTTTGGAAGATGCACTAATTAGTTTCTCTTTTACTTTCGATTTTGGAAAGAAAGAATCTCAAAACTATTTTATATCACCAACGTTCACTTAATTTTTCATAAATATATCCAACTGGAACGAATAAATCTAACAATGTCGATTATTGTTTCTACCAGGAAAATTAATTAATATTATAGAAGACTCGCCGATTACTTGTTATATCGTCTTTGATTGTTAATTATGCATACACATCGAAACTGAATTTTAGCTCGACTTTGAAAACTATCCTACTAGTTTAGACAGTGTCGAATATTTGAGTAATTACCGAAGCGTTTTTGAGGCATATAAACAATCATGAAAGCATTTTAAAGTTTGAATTCGAGTATTTCTGAAAATTGTTAACATTTTTTAGTATGCCTGCAAACCTTTGGTTTTTGGATCGTTTATTTCATTGTATGTAGATCTACCCCTCTAACTTACTGCTACTTCATTTTATTAATTAACTGAAAATGATTGTCGTTAAGACCCAACCTAAATCCGAACTGCATATGAACTTGACTTTGAAAATTTATTTTCTTGTTAATCATGTCTAAGAAATGACAATTTTAGAGCGAAATTGTTTACTAAAAATAAGTCTTGATAAAACTGTTTTGGAAATTGACTGATTTTAATATGATAGAATATGCATTTTTTATGTCAAACTATAAAAGTTCTAGAACAAGATATGTTTGGAGATTAGAAAGGAAGAATAACATGAATAAATTTGTTTTTAGAAATAGCTGATAAAAGTAATTATCAAAATACTGGACTTGAAGAATTAATTAATAGATGCCAAACAAGTTCAATTGTTAATTTAAATGGTCAAAAAATAAATGATGATGATATTGATATTGTTATTAATACAACTTTATTTAATAAACAATGTCAATCACTTATCTTATGGAATAATTGTTTAACATCATATTCAATATCAAAATTATTTTCTTCTTTAAGCATAAATACAACATTAAAAAAGTTGAGTATTTCGAAGAATCATTTATCTGATATAGCTATAAAATCTTTATCAGAATCACTTTTATTTAAAAATTCAACATTAAAAGAATTAGTTCTTTCGTCAAATGAAATAACTGATGAAGGTCTTATTTATTTATCAGATATGTTAAAAATAAATGAAACTTTAATTGTACTTGGATTACAAGATAATAAAATAACTGATAAAGCTATTCAATATTTATCTCAAGTTATTCAATTTAATAATAAAACTATTGAAGAAATATCTTTATATTCAAATAAATTAATAACTGATATAAGTATTGATTATATTTTGAATATGATTACAAATAATCAATCATTGAAAACATTTTGGATATGGGATTGTCAATTATCTGAACAAGGAAAATGTAAACTTCAACAATCTATTCAATCGAAAATTGATTTTGATCTTCGATTGTAATGTATCGATTAATTAAATATTATTTTATTTAATACGCTCTTATCTGCTTTTTTCTATATATCAACAAAATCTAAAGTTTCATATGTTATTGCGTAAGATAATTGTAACAAAAAAAAAAGATAGAAGAATCAATTCTATCTTTGTTATATCACAAATAATGCACTGAAAATAAAACTTTTATCATTCTGATTGATTGCTTCAAATAGTTTTAATGTATTAAAATTATCTATTCTTACGTTACATGAGAAAATAAAGGATAGTACATCATCTTCTGCCTTGTCAAACTCATTCGCTTATAACAACCGAAATGTTCTCGTTTATGGTATAAAATCATTTTTTTTTATCGTATGAAATTTTCTTTAACAAACCTTGTTTCTCAAGATAATATGCCGTAAAAATGATCAGCAGTGGACGATATGACCCATCAATCGAGAAATCGTTCCAGTTTGAGGAGAAATGCTTTATCCCACACAAAGTCACGCAGAATAAGGAGAAATGGAAAAATTAATATATAGATATACATATATATATAGACATGTATCGATGACTTATCACTGTTCTACATATATTTCACTTCCCCTTATGCATCATTCATTACTGCCGACAAAGAAAGAAATCGTTTATACATTTCTCCTTGAAACTTTTCCATTTCTGCTGTGTAAAATCCATTTCTCCTAGAACTTTACCTTAACGTGAAAAAAGATCCTATTCTGTTGAAAAATGTTGCACATCTGCTGGAGAAAATCCATTTCTCCTAGAATTTCTCCTTATAATGAAAAAATAATTCTATTCATTTCTTCTTATAATGCAATAATAATCTTATCGATTTCCCCTTATAACTTATACATTTCTCCTTGTGAGGGTAGAAATGGTTGAAGGATTTCTCGTTGTTGAATTTCGTGAATGTCTGTTGGTGATTGATGCGAGAGAATTAATTCTCTTTCTTAAAGAAGCGCTTCTGCTTGACTTTATGTGGGTTGAAGCATTTCTGCTGTAAATGGAACAATTTCTCGATTTTTGGGGATGTCGTCCAGCCCTCGTATAGGTGACAAGTGAAGAGAAACCAATATTACGAAAGAATATTGAGAAGAACTTGGCAAAAAACGAAAGCATTTGCCATTACACATTTGTTATTTCTTTCCAATAGTCTCGATTGCCTTTTTCAATTCGTAAAATTTAGCTGCTTATTTGAAAAAAAAAACAAATTTTCTTTCTGATTTCATTAACAAATTCTGATCTATTCAGTGGTGTATACAACTAATTAAAGAACGTTTCTATGAAATAAACATCTCAAAAATTTACAAAACCAAGAATAGTCATATGCTAATGAAAATGATCATGGATTTATTACTTGGTGTATTTCATAAATGCCATGTCACTATTGAATATAATTTAGACAAGCTTATTCTACATTGAAGAGCTATCACAGCTATTTTTTAAATGCATAATTTTGGAATGATTTTGACCTGCAAAAAAATTGAAAATTCTTCGTTTGATTCTGGACAATTTTTTGAGAGAGATATTTTGAAAATATATAAGCCAGCACATAAAAAAACAAAAATCTCTACCAATGATTTCATATGGAATGTCATTTTTTTCGAGTACCCAATTGGAATTCAGTATCATGAATTGAACACATTTATGCAGTGTTGGATGATATATAAACATGACTCTTGTTTTCGCAAAGATCGACTTTGATCGTGAAGGAATTGTCTCGAAAACTTTTTGCTATATCCAGTATTTTTCATTCATTGTTAGTACATGGCTGCCAGAGTCATCAAATGTCAGAATAATGTAGAAAATTAGGATGTGTTTGTGGATGATGGGGTGGTATGGGTGTGTGGAGTGTGGGTGTGGGTGTCGGATGATACTAATGTGGATACCGCCGTAATGATACTCACACCCAGTCCCACACCCCACTCGCACACCCACCCCCCACACCTACATACATTCGCATCCCACGTTGATCGATTTCAAAATAATTCGAGAGAGCTGTAGTTGTTTTCGTGCTAAGTCAGTTCACATTGCTTGTGGTCATTTTTTATCCGATATGAAGTCTCAAAATCAATAGTTGCAGCGTCAAATAAGTGGATTGTTACTCTTCAATACTACCATAACATCTCACAAACAAATCGAGACAAAAAAATGAAACCCAGAAGAATGTTTAGTAGTTGAAAATTATTTACAAGATGTACTGAAGAGAATGCACAAGCAAAGGAACCTAAGTAAACAGAAAAGAGAAAGGGTTGCCAGTGTAAATTGTAATGATGATTTTGACAATAAGGTAGAACCTGTATTGCATGTTGATTAATCGTATACTTAAGATGTAAAAAAAATCAAGACAAGATAGACATGTAACAAGAACTGATATTAGGGATTTACTTTGGATAAACATGGATTTAGAACTTCTCAGAAGATAAAAAATATTTGATAAATAAGAAAAGACAAGACAATTTTTAAAATGTAGAAGTCGCTTGTGAAAATTAGAGCAAATGAGGTTTTTGTAATTAAAAAATATAGTATCGATGACACAATTAATACCGTTTGATCGAGTCTAGGTCAGCACCATTAACCTTAAAGAAAGATAAATATTAATTTAAGATTGATAGACATGTTAATGAGAAAATGTAAGTCGATAACTAGATATTCTATTCAAGAATTTTTCAAGCATACACAAATGGAACAGATCATATTCTCAACAAAAGAAACCTATCTATTGTAATTTCATGTTTTCAGGAGTAAAGCGTGAAGCTTTCAGAGACCAACAAGTAAAATAGATATCTTTCTGCTCATTAACTCTAATATTTCATATATTGAAACATACAAACTATATCTAGAATCTGAATTCTATTATATAATGTACATAAAAGTAAGATTTACGCATCAGTACCTGATACAGTTGTTGTGCAGCAATTACCACTATTAGACAGATATTTTACACCTGTCCAACAATTATATTGTGTTGTGTGAGTTTTTAGACTGCTGCCACGAAAAATGTCCAAGAAGTAAGCCTCAATCTGGTCACTTGTATTGCATCCACCTTGATAAGTACTATTTGAACATGAATATTCGCAGATTATATAAGGATGACCATTGGCATTCGACTTTGTTGCCTGTGGCATGATCACCTTTGTGACATTGGCTTTATTTGGTGCGCCAGTTATGGTTGTATTAACGATTCCATTGCGGCAGGGATTGTGATCAGCATTGTAGCCGGCATGTCTCACAGCAATAATATTGTTTACATAAGAGCCATTTAGAACAACAGAAACGGCTTCATAACTAACTATACCAATAATCAGATTCGAGATATTTTGATCGATGATGATGTTGAGTTGGCCACCATCGTAATTTGAAAAAATGAACAAGTTTCCATTAGGATTGCATATTCTCTGCACTAAAAAGGCATGATGTATCGATATAAAGCAGCACATAATTAGATTACACAGTACGATTTCTGCTCATGTGGAATCGTATAAAAAACTGAGGCAGACTACAAAGTTTTAAAATAAGCTTCTTGGAATCGCCTCATTGTAGTTGGGTGTGAATTTTCTTTTCCAGTTTTCTACTAACTAAAGAGAAAGAGCATTCAATTTGTGCAGGAAAACCTATGTGTCGCTAGTTTTTATATTCTAGAGAAAATATTAATTATAGGAAAATTTATCAATGTATGACTGAGGGAGTCGAACTTTTTTAAAGAAGAAAATAACATGGGTAGTAGTGTGTATCATAAATGTGGGGTTATGAGTGTGTAGCTGTTGGTTTAGTGTGGATGAAAACAACAAGTTTACATCAAATTTGAAAACTACACCCTCGCTCAGACTTGCATACCTGCACCATATAGTACAGAGTCGACATCTATATTCACACCGACATCCTAGTGGCAACTGAAAAGAGCGAAGTTTCTGATGTACCCAGTAACGTAGCCATACAAGTTAAAGCTGTTTATTGAGTCTTACTGTAATTTGTAGTCGACGTCGTAGTAAGGGTTCTTGTTGTGACAATCATCGAGCTGGTAGGTATTGAAGCGGGGGTACCTAAATGTTTCAAATAAATTTTTCATTGTGATTGGTTTCAAGAACACTTATTTACTGATGGTCGTGACGGATGTGTTGTTCGTTTTATTGACTTGCATACATAAATCTATCAGCGATCGCGGCAGACAGACTGATCTAGGAGAGCAACAGCTATTGACAACGCACACCGAAGTATTTGATGGACATTGCCCCGCAACGGTGCACGAATCAAGTGAGGAACAATGGGCAACTGGTGCACAGTAGCTGGTGTTATTCGCTGTCCGAAAATCGTAGCACGTTGACAACGATGGACATTCATTGATTGAAACCGATATTGAATCGACGGTTGCGCACATGTTAACAGAACACATTGTAGTTAACACATTTGCCGTGTTAACTAACATATTATGATGACAGAGTGAATCAATGCACATAGATTGAAGAAAATATGGATTGAAGTGTGAAGACCACCCGAAGCCGAACGATCAAGATAAGTGAGCGTCAAAGTTCATGCCAGCCACAGTTGACATTTTTTATTCGAAGCTGCCAGAATTTGTTAACGATATCGACTTAGGCTGACACGAAATTTTACGCACTCTTATCCTAACAAAGCCGAAATGTAAACTTTCCATTCAATTTCGTCTTTGATGTAGATCAAATAAGAGGGACAAAAATACGAAGAGGAAATCCTCCTATCTTTCAACTACTTGACAGCATTGGTTGCTATCAAAAAGAAGTTTTGTTAGTCCAACATCTTTTATACAACTAATACTTACTGTAGTTCTGGACAGAAAGTTAGCCTAACACAAATCTCTTGCGCTCATTCGCTTCAGCTTACTACACAATCACTAACTGCATACTACCTATGGTGACAGATGTTTTTCATAATATAGTCAACATACTATTGGATGGGTGGTACGAGACGAGAAGTAATTGACGACTTCTCTATAGTCAATCGGAAGCTGGCTGTACTGAGTTTTGAAG